CTATTTAGCATTATATGATCTGTTTGTTGTAAATTTTTTTTTTTTTTTGTGCCATAGGGTTCATGCATTCACTGGAGAGAGATGGAGATAAACAGTAAGTGAGGGAAAATGAAAAATCACATCCCAAGGTAGAAACAGTAAGTGAGGGAAAATGAAAAATCACATCCCAAGGTAGAGGGCCACACCACAGTCCCTTCTCCTCCATTTTCCTCATGGGATTTTAGCCAGCCACTTTCATGTGTCCAGCATATTTTACAAGCCACTGTGTCCAAGTCTTGAACCACAGAATCAGCCATGTGGGATCCAGCACCTTAAGCACCTTGTCACCTGCTGGCCCTCTAGTGATCATCTTAACCATGATAAAAAAAGATTTTCCCACACACACTTTTTGATGGAATAATATCACAATGAAAATATTACACTATAAGGAACCAGCAGTTAGCGTAATGGCTATGTCGCTGGACTCCCACGTAGTCAACCGCGGTTCGCGTCCCAGACCCGGTGGCTTAAAACTCACACTGGGCGCATGTGCGTGCATGCCCAAGATCCCGAGAAGAGAATGGAGGAGAAGGGATTGTGGCGTGACCATCCCCTCTGGGGGGTGATTTCTCGCTTTCTGTCTCTCTGTCTCTCTCTGTCTGTGTGGCGAACGCATGCGCTCTATAGCAAAAACCTCTCCAAAAAAAAAAAAAAATTACACTATAGGAAAACAACATTTTGTGAATTCTAGCCAGAGACAGATATTTTTGACAGAGTCTCACAGTGTCCTTATCCTCTCACTCAACCTTCCCACATAGCTAGGAATATAGGTGCTTGCAACAGTGACTGGCTCCAGGCACGGAACCTGTTTCTTCTGTGTAGCTTCCAGTTTCCCATGGTGTTACCTATGTGTCATTGTGGCTGGGCTTGTCTTATTTCACTTTTTGTTGTTGTTGTTGTTAGGAAATATAGTCTGAAATCTAATTAACTATATGCCCATGTGCTAGGAAAACAATAGAATTTTATTTGGTAGTAAAAGTCCTTGACTTCTGGTAGTACCAAGATACTTCAAATAAATATGTGATTCAGACCTCCGTTTAGATAGAATGTGACAGAATTCTTAGGTAATTTCAGTTCTAAATTTGAAACTCAAAAATGTTAAATGGGTTCATGCTTCATCAAGTTATATCTGCTTATCTCTAGAAATGACTGCATTGTGTATCTCTATCATGGATTTAAACATTAATGTTGATTAAAACATGAGGGAAATATTTATCAACAATACTTTATTTCATTTAAAGGCTAATGAAGTATTTTTGAATGTTTATGACCTACTCAATGTCATTCATATTGGTATAAAAGTAGAACAGATGGTTTCTTCTCTCAAGCAGTTTACAGTTAAAAGGGGAAAAATTATATATGAGTGTGTGTGTGTGTGTGTGTGTGTATATATATCATAATGAAGGAACAAGGAAGGATCACAGTGAGTTGCTATGAACCATTATAATCTTCCTCCTCCTCAGCACAATAGCCATCCACTAGGCCCTCTAAGTTACTAAGATAGCTCTTCATGTAAATTCTTCTAAAACTAACTATAACTAGTATGGGGTAGTCTTCAAAAAGTTCATGGAAAATACATATTATGAAAAAACTGTGCATGAATTTCGAAAATTTTTTGTACCAAAATAAACTAGTACTTTAATTTCATTTTTCTAATAACTGTTGAAAAGTTTTCTCATTTTTGGTAATTATTAGTATACTTACTTCTCAGATGACAAAACTGAGGTTCATCGAGTGCACAGAAGGTCAGAATTATAAACATAATGTGGCCTAGAAGAATTGAAGACAACTTCATGAAAGACTTGAAATTTGAGGTGACCTTCAGAGGGTGGCTGAGCAGACAGAATGAAGAAGCCATGGAAAGGGGTTCACAGAGGAGAACAGACAGGCAATTTGGAAGACCGGCTGGAAAAAGTGTGGTCTCTAGGACCACTGCGGAGGTGAAACCTTTGTGGAATGAGTTCTAGTAGAGAAAAAGTTACTGAGAAGAAGATTCCTCATGGCTTCTGCAAACTAGGTATTTCAGGGCACACGAAAAATGAAGATTTTTCTACTGATAATTCAGCCTCCAGCAAACAAGCTAGCATGACTGAACTTCAAGAATTTGAAGGTGTGCTATATCAGGAAAATTAAATACAGACACATGGAATTAAGAGTTCAGAAACTAAGAAACTGGCCAACTTAATCGTAGGGACAAGTCTGGAGTTGAATAATATATCCCAGAATTTAATAGGAAAAATGGAACCAGAACAGAAGATAAAAGTACATGAGACTGATAGGTTCATGCACCTACCATTTGAACAGAATCCTAAACTGTTTCCTGGCTTTAAGCAAATTTCCTTGGCATTTCTCTGATTTACGTTAAAACTGGTTTTCTTAATAGTAACGAGTGAACTCACCATTGAAAGTAGTTAGATTATGTAAGAAATTGTGTGATAGATACAATGTGGGTGGGAAAGGAATGGAAGACAATTGTAGACACCAGAGATAGTGTGAGAAGAGGGTGGGAAAGGACAGAGGGTCAGAAAGGGGTAAAAAGAATTCTAGGAACTAGAAATGGAAATTTTTTATAATAATATTGCATGATTAAGTCACTATGCAGTATATTCTGGATGGGAAATCACATTTTGTATGCTGTAATGATGCTTCGGGAAAGAATGTAAATTAAGTTACAAAAAAATAGTTTCAGAAAAAATATACCTATTCAATGACAGCAGTAAGATATATAGCCCCAGCTAAGTGCTACTTTGTAGGATGCCTAAAGTTAGACTTGTGTTCATGGAAATGTATATATCAGCTGTGTTTGCTATGAAATTATTTAGATTAATTAAGGTCTTTAGTAATTCAATAAAATGTGGGGGAAAACAGTATAGAAAGCAAACATATATACTAGAGACAGTGTGGAAGGAGAGTGGGAGATGGCAGAGGGTAAGAGATAGGGAATCAAGGATGGGGGAAAAAAAAGCAAAACATTACAGAAAACAAGAAATGGAAAATTATTTGCTGACAATAACATGTTTGTTGATGTGCTTGATTGAGACAATATACAGTGTACTCTGGATGGAAAATCTCATTTTGTATGTTGTAATGATGTACAGTGAAAGAATGCAAATAAATAAATTTAAATAAAAAATAAAATAAAAAAAAGAAAAAGTTACTACTTCTAGAGTATGAGCCAAGGATACAGAAAACCTTGAAAGCTGAGGCTTTGGAATGAAAATTAAGAAGAGAGAACATGATGCAAATGTATTTTAAAAATTAGTGAGTGAGTAGAAGGCATTAGAATGGGAATCTGAGGGAACAGCAGTTAGCATAATGGCTATATTGCTGGACTCCTATGTAGTCGACCGCGGTTCAAGTCCCGGACCTGGTGGCTTAAACTCACATCGGGCGCGTGTGCGTGCGTGCCCAAGATCCCGAGAGGAGAATGGAGGAGAAGGGATTGCGGCATGGCCATCCCCTCTGGGGTGTGATTTCTTGCTTTCTATCTCTCTGTATCTCTCTGTCTTTGCTGGAGAGCGCACGCGCCCAATAAGAAAAAAACCTCTCCAAAAAAAAGAAAAAAAAAAAGAATGGGAAATCTGGGACCACAAAGAAAGATTAGCAATGGTTATAGAAATTACAGCATATGATAATAAGGATCTGAATGTGGGTGGTGGAAGCTGAGAGAAAAGAATAGTCTAATATTTTAAAAGAGAAACAACAGAAGTTAGGATTAGCATTAATATAGAAATACATGGGATGAAGAGGGTCAGAGATGCTTTATAGACAATGTCAACGCCATTTTCCCCCTTTCCTGGGAGATGAGAGAGGGCTGGAAAACGTAGGGCTTCCAGTCTCAGCATTGACTGACGGATGTATAGCAAGCTAAGATGTACACCAGCAATAACTAATAAAATAACCAACTGAGAACAACCAACACAAGCAAGATTTCAGGGGTGACAGAAAAAAAGAGAAGATGTGAGGTAAGCTGAGTTCCTCATTTACTCCAGCTGGTTTTCTATGTTTTTCTTCCACGGTAACATGCATGGTGCTGGATACGTCATAAACATCCCCAAAGACTTTGCTCTTTAAGTAAAATAAAGTGTTATTGTAAACATTAAATTCATGTTTTAACCAATGATCAAAATTATATAATTATGTGCATAAAGAAACAAGAAGTTGAATATCTATTTTTTTCAAGAATAAGTAAGTTTATTCACTTAATGGGCTTCCCAAGATCTTTGCCACTTATTGTGAAGGCTGGCAAATGAATTTGAGGTCAAGCATATGATATACACCCCTTGTACTTTCTATGCTATGTGCACACATTACTGTACACAAGGGCTCCCTGTACAATCAGTGTAAAAGCACATTTATATTCATGCTAGGGGATTCAAGGCATATTTTTTTGATGAGTTGCTAGTGACATGCATGGTTTATTTGTTAAGCTCTTGTTTATTAAGGTAATACTCAATTACAAAATTGTTCCTATGGGAAAAAATGATCCATATTTCACAACCACCAAGGTAATGATGTAGTTTCTCAGCATTGCACTAAAAAAAAAAAAAGGGAAGTCTCTATTCTGTGCTGAATTTTTATCAGAACTATGAAAAATGTTTCAGAATGTCATTTAAATATATTTAAATACACATTTTGTATAAATAATCTAATACCCAAAACAATGATTTTTAGTTCAATATAATAAAACTTGAATGAAAAACTATTTAGAGCAACATAAAATTATTATATATAGAGAAGTAACTATACAACTAACAAAGTAAAATAAATTTCCAAGTCTTTATTCTCTTTATCCTCTTTCAGTAAGTGTTTACGAATACAGAGCACAGATACACACATTTTATTATTCAATGAATTAAGTACTTTCTTTTGCTTTCACTAGAAAGCTCTCAACTTAGAAAAATGAAAAGTTGTTTTCTGAAAACACATCCCACATACACATATTATTTAAAAATACTCACGATCTTCATCTGTCTGTACTATGAGTTCTTGACTTTCCTTCCGTCCCTCAGGATTCATGAGGATGAGTTTCACACTGACATTGGTATATGGTGACAGGTTAGTGATTGTATGTTGAGGGTGGGAATTTTCTGTATCCCAGCTTACTTCTTCTCGTACTTGTTCCTGTCCTCCAACTTGGTAACAGTAATGGACAGTGAGATTATAACTATGGCAGCGAGTTACATTATATCCAAATGGCTCCCAACGGATAGTGATTTGTCGAGATTTGACCTCTACTACTTCCAACTTTCTTGGGCCACGCATGGGATCTATTTAGAAAGAAAAACAAAAGGAAACATTAAGAGAAAAGGATTATAAAAACTCAGGTGAAGTCCAAATATCACAAATATTTCTGTCCCCAATGTCTGATCTCTTCTTCCTGAATAATAAACTTCCTCAATCTTAGCTCACCATACAGCCACTCAGAATAAAGATTAAAGTTTCCATTTCCTTCTGCAGCAAGATATGGTCACTTGCCTAAGTTTTCATGAATGGTATACCAGATATCTAGAATGGTTTCTGGGAGATGTTAGTAAAAGGAAGGGACTTATCATCATTACTCCTTCTTCCTTTCAACTAGCTGGAATAAGGACACTGCATTTTGAGCTCATGTAGCCATGACAGACAATGAGGCATATAAGTGTTAAGTCAAAATAATGATAAAGGAGGAAAATCCCTTGATAGTCACAAAACTACCACACTAGCCTAAACTTCTTACTTCTCAACTTTCCATTATCATTAAGAGAAATTACAAGCTATCTTTCTTATTTTTTTAAAGAATTATTTATTTGGGACCAGTAGTTAGCGTAATGGCTGTGTTGCTGGACTCCCATGTAGTTGACTGCGGTTCAAGTCCCAGACCCAGTGGCTTAAACTCACACTGGGTACGTGTGCATGCATGCCCAAGATCCTGAGAGGAGAATGGAGGAGAAGGGATCACGGAGTGGCCATCCCCCCTGGGGGATGATTTCTCGCTTTCTGTCTCTCTGTCTGTTTCTGTCTGTCTGGCGAGCGCACGCGCCCTGTAGTAAAAACCTCTCCAAAAAAAAGAAAGAAAAAAAAAGAATAGTTTATTTAATTTTATTTATTCATTTATTTATTTTTAATTTGACCAAAGAGAGACTGACAGACAGAGAGAGAAAGTGAGAAAGCAATCCACCAGGTCCAGGACTGGAACTGTGGTCCACCACATGGGAGTGTCCAGTGGCTTAACCACCATACCACCTGCGGGTCCCACCAGCTATCTTTCTTAACCCTCTTTTCCTCTGGGTCTTTGATATATGAAAAAAAATTCTTGGGACCAGCAGATGGTGTAATGGTTATGTTGCTGGACTCCCATGTAGTCGACTGTAGTTCAAGTCCCAGACCTGGTGGCTTAAATTCACGCCGGGTGTATGTGTGTGTGTGTCCAAGACCTGATAGGAGAACGGAGGAGAAGGGATTGTGGCGTGGCCATCCCCCCTGGGGGGTGATTTCTTGCTTTCTGTCTCTGTCTCTCTCTGTCTTTCTGGTGAGTGCACATGTCCTATAGCAAAAACCTCTCCAAAAATTTAATAATTATTATTACTAATGGATATATATGTTTTATATTTAAGAATAATTTGTAATTATATAGTTAGAAAACATAAAACCTGAGAGTGAAACATGAAATAATATAATAATGGGAAAGAATAAACTTTTGAGCAGAATTCCAGGTCTTTTCAGGTTATAATCCTTATAAAATGCCATACAATCAATGCCAAAGTAGTTCTTGCCTATTTGTGACAATGTCTTCATATTTTTCTTTAGCCTAAGCTCCAGGAACAAAGTTTCATGCAGGGAATAAGCATATTCTATTTTAAATTTTTCAAGAGGGCACCTGTGTTTTCTGGAGAGAGACAAAAGTGGGGTGGTGTATTAGGGGGAGGAGAGTGAGAAAGCATCCCCCAAGGAAAATGGTCATGCATTATCCCTTTTCCATTTCTCCATCCTTGGGGATTTGGGGCATCCATACATTTGTACCTGGTGTGATTTTTTCCACGCTGCTGTGTTGGGACTCAAACCACACAGCAGACCATGTGGGATTCAGCCTCCTTAACTATAAAAGCATTCTGAATGGTTTTAAGTAAAAATACACTGAGAAAGCTTAAATTTGTTTATGAAATGATAATGACAATATAATAATATATAAATACACACTAATATTTATTGAGCACTTACTATGTACTATGAACTGTTTCAAGCAATTTACCTTTCATGGATTTAGGGAAAACCTGAATGTTCTGCTTTGGTATACCAATAGTACATTTGATTCATAATTTTTATTTTTGTTTTTCTGAAGTGTGTTCACCAGATATGATTATAAAGCAATCTATAATTGCTAATGGCCAATAAACTTGGAAATGAGAAATAATGACTGCCATTTATTGTGTGCTTGCTATGTGTGAGTTGCTTTATGTCTAGTCTCTTCCTCTAAACAATCCTGTGGATTAAATGCTTTCCCCCAAAAATCTATATTAAAAAAAAAAACAAAACTGTGGGCATATAGGCTCATTAACTTGATCAGGGTCAAGGTTTAACCATGGCACTTGACATTAGAACTGACAACCAAACATGATGCTGCTTCAACTCTACTACAAAGTCTCTGATCAAAATTAAAATCTGTGATGAAAAGAAATTAGGATATTAAAGATACCTATAACAGGACCAAATACCATAAAATAAAGATGTTATAATACGTAAAGATAAATAATATATATATATGTGTATATATATATATGTATTATAAATAATAAAGATATGTAAAGTAAAGATCCAATATATTTAATCTTATTTATCAGAGAGATTTTCACTATAGGGTGTGTGCACTCGCCAGAGAGACAGAAAGTGAGAAACCAGCCCTCAGGAGGATGGCCATGCTGCAGTCCATTCTCCTCGCCAGATTTTGGGCATGCTTGCACATGCACTCGGCATGAGTTCCAAGCTGTCAGGTCCAGGACTCGAACAGCGGTCAACCACATGGGACTCCAGTGTCTTAAACACTATGCCACCTACTGGCTTGACAGTGAATTTAATCTTAAGACAAAAGTGCTGCGAAAAGTCCCTTTTTTCATCCCAATTCCACAGAAGAGGCATCCAGGCCATCCTCCCATGTGCAGTTGTACCCTGACTGGACTTCAGGATGCTGGAAATTGGTTTACACTTATTACTGAAGTATACTCCTTATTTTCTATTTGTGCATAAGTCCCTTGTGCCTATCTTCCCCATCATTTAGGACCTAGAGGGAACTTAGAACCACCTTCTTTATCTGCAATAGCTAACATAAAAATATTTAAAGTGAACTGATGTTTTGGTTTTATATATGCAAAGCAGGATTTATCTGCCTGATACTTGCTCGACCCATAAAACGAGGTTAATAATGATCATTCGTGCTACTTTATCCTGCAATAACTCTAGGGACCAAGAATAAGTGAGATGAAAACTCTCCCAAAAATTCCTGAGTGGCACCTCACAGAATGTTCATTATTACTAAATTAAGTTTTTACTGTTAAATTACTAGTACAGGGAAAATAGCATAAATAAGTTGCTTAGAAATAACATTGAAGGTTTTTACCTCCAGATTAGTGACTTCATACAATTCAAAGAAAATGTAATTTTGTATAATGCTTCATTAGTTAAATGTTTATAAAAACTTTTAATAAGCTCCAGATCCCTTATACATAAACAGATTAGCATGCATATCTTCGCCGTTTTCGTTATTAATCACAGATCTCCACAAGGACTGTTCTAAAGCAGTTTCCCAAGTTTTCCATCAATTTTACTTACTAATAAAATGACTAAACGCTTCAGATATTAGTTTAAACAAGCAGTACAGTTCTAACTTAATTTCAGTGGAAGACTACTTTCCACAGCATAATTAAGCCTGCATCATTTTAGTATTCCTTAGCCAAGAAAAAACATACTTAAATTAAGCCCCAAATTTAAAAACAATGTGTTCTGTCTGTCTGCTGGTCAAATCTTGAAATACATGCTCCCTTCTTTGTTAGGAGACCTGAAACCTGAGAATTCCATCATTGTAAAACTGTCTCAAACTTTCCATACATTTGTCAAGTATTAAAAGCTAAACCTAGAACAAAACAATCACCAAGGCTATTGACCAAGGCTCCAAAATCCTTACTGTCAAAAGAGGGAATTAACAGACTAGAGGTAGAGGCCCTATGAGGTCTAAGGCCTGTACTCACTCACTTGCTTCCTAGGTTTCTGGTTAGTCTAAATAAGACTATCTTATAGAAGCTTTTCCAAACAGAGTACTTTCCTCTGTGCTCTTTGCAGATCTTTGACTATGCCATATAGTTCTTTTGTGTCTGTTAGGATGTGATAGCAACATGGCAGGATGAGTATCAATCGGGGTAAGGAGGAATCATACCAACAGGGGGTAGGGATGACAGCCACCTTAACTCTGATTCCAAAACACCTCTCCCATTAGTCAAAAATAAGTTGAATCAATACGATGCTACAGATGCCATGGCCCACTTCAGATGGAATATTGCCATTTCACTTTGCCAGGCTCAAAGGCAAAGTCAAGTGAGTTAGGGAAATCACTTGAATAAAACAGATACATCCAATAATATAAATGGAATGCTATGTGCTATCTTGTTCCTCTAATAGTGTCCTCTTCAAATATAGTGTTTGTAGGCTAAGACCAAAGACTAAGGAAATCTGATAATCATTCAATTCATTCTAAGCGAACTGCCCGGTGTCAATTTTTTTTTTTTTTTATTGCTTTTGCCTGCCATTCTGAAAAATTGAATTCTGATCCAGCAATGGATTTATAATGATTACATCCTAAGTTAGTATTTTATAGCACCTTTATTTTAAATGTTTCCAGAGAACCATTTCTATTAGTGTGCTGCTAACTGTGAATGAGGCATTCCACAGGGACATTTACTCTAGTTATCTATATTGATGATCACTGAAGACTTTGAAGGGCATCGTTGTAGAAATATATCACACCGTAGGAAATGAATGGCAACTTCATAACCAGAAATGTGTAATTTCAGAAGGCTAATTGCAACTCATACTGCATTTCTTGGGGTGGAATATAAACACTGCCTAAGAAAACTTGGCATACTATTACTACCATTCTATGTGCACAGTATAAATCTTGCCGTTAGATAACAGGGTAATAAATTATATTCACAGGACCTCTAGTTCTAGGATATTTGTTCCTCTTTCCTCACAAGGCTAAAGATGCTACTAAGGATGGTAATTAATTCCAAGACCATTTTTT